TTTTGAAACGATTTAATAATTAAAAGAAAGTTTACTATTTAACTGTACTTTCTTCCTATAATGTTGTTCTTCCAATTCTTCTTCTACTAAACTAGAAATAGAATCTACTTCTCCAACAAATTAATTCTTGTTTACATACTTCTGAAATACTATTAAAACTCTTCGTATTCGATTAGTAAACGAATGCATTTAATCAAAATGTGTCTACCATTGGTAAAAGAGTTAAATGGAATTGAATTACAGCTATCCGATGTTACAGTTGTGCAAATTTCAAATATTAGCATTTAATTTAACTACAAATAACAGTTAATTATATCGTTTAATTCCGCAAATTAAGTGGGGTTTTAATTAAATCCAATGAATAAATGGGCACGCAAATATACCGATACATTACTGTAATGTTATGTAGTAATTGCTTTATGAAAGATTAGAATAATATTCGATTTGTTTCTTGTAATATAATGAATTGTTTTGAAAGGTACTATATGGTATTCTAACCTAATTTAATAGGTGGTGTAAGGTTTCTCAGTGTGAGTTTGTGTCTCGTATTTTCTTCGAAATACTTGTAAAAAATGGTAAGAATAAACAAAGTTACCAGTGTACAAGTCGAGGGTAATGTTTTTAAAAGTTTTAACAACTTCACTTACCTGAGGAAATTGGAATGAGAGGATCGTTTTCTAACTGTTTGTTCATCTTCTACAACTTTTGCTCCATTATAAAGAAAAATATCGTATAAAATTACAGCATTTTCTTCGATTTAGTTACTCGAACAGATTCTTCGATCTTCATTAATGCACACAAGTCTATTTGGCACAGACACAAACAGTGATGGTTTGACAAAAATTCCGAGCACTTTCGCACGAACTTTTCCCGAAATTTGAAAAGTGCACTAGTAAACAAATGGTAAATAATTCAATTGTAAAAATGTGGAAATAACGAGCTAAAATTGGGAGCGCCCGTGTTTTGACACTTGTTACTTTTATTTATAAAATATTTCTTCACTCTTCGGTTCAGTCTGGCTGGTTTCTTCATTACGGCGGCGTTGCCATTTCGAAGAAATGGTAACCAGGTAAAATTACGGCGAATAATCCTGGCGCAATGACCGACGAGTCTGAGGCCAAACAATAATCGTGCAACTAATTTTATCACAAACTCGCCAAAACTTACAATACCAAGCAGCTACTAAAATAAAGAGAATTGTGCAATTTCGTAAAATAATAGACCTATTGAGTTTAACCTGTGCTGCGCGCGCATACTGTGGGCAATTAACTTGACATTTAAACGAACAAACGATAATACGAAATTGACATATAACTGTCACCATAGTACGCCAGCGTTGCCACATAAATAAAGATTGAAAACAATAATCTTACCTCTCTCTGAATGAACATGCTATACTTTTTTATGCTGTTCTTTTTGATTTTTTTAAACAATTTGAATTTTATTACATTTGTTTAAACAATATATGAACTTCCCGTAAATAAATAAAAATTGTTTACGTTTATTTACCACATTTATAAATATTTAATATTAAAAAGGAGATTTCAATAGGAGCCATAATACTTGAACAAATAAAATATTGAACAGAACAATTTCTTTTATACCAATTAAAAGAGGTGAAATAAAAAAACCTATTTACAAGAAATATTTATTTGCAATGTATGTTTGTAAGTTTATTCCAGCCACAAGATCTGCATTAATTCGTCTCATGATATGTTCCTGTCCTGCTTGGGGTACCTCATCAACTTCTATTTCAAAATTAATTTCTTCGGGCTCTTCAGGCTCTGGTAAGTTATTCTTTATACAGATATTGTGCAATATTACACACGCGTTGACGATTTTGCCTGCAGTTATAGGTGCGAATGCATAGTGTAATACTCTGTTTTTCAATAAGCACCGGAATCTCTTCTTGAGAACCCCGATACACCGTTCCACTGTACTTTGTACCGATTTCAAACGATTGTTAAATCTTTCATTTGCCGTATTAGGTTGAGGTTCTGCTTCTAATGGGGTTAATAGCCACGGTCGAAGAGGGTAACCTAAAATGACAACATTGAAATTATAACATTTATTTGGCTATAATAAGCGGCAGATTGTTCAGTTCTTACCTGAATCTCCTAACAAATAAAAATGTTCATTAGGATTGTGTCTGTACACTTGTTCCAATAACCTGGACACATTGGACTGGTTCCAAATATGTGACTTATGGCAACTTCCAGGAAATGTTGCATTAACATTTAGAATAAGTAAATTTTCATCACAAATCTGTAACAAGTCAACTTATTAATATTTATTGTTTTAGCGTCTAGATATTACTTACTATTTGAACATTAAGAGAATGAAAGTTTTTCCTATTTACAAACACATGTTCATTTTCCACAGGAGTTACTATAGCTACATGTGTGCAATCAATGACACCAACAATCCCTGGAAAATCGTACTTCCTCTCGAATCTAAAAAAATTAAATACATATTTATTGGAATACAACCTCATATTTAGGTACATAAAAAGATAGAAAGGAACGAAGAACAAGAACCAACTGAAATGGAAATTATATGATTGCATTGGAGCCTAATCGAGCTAATACTTTCCGGATCAGTTGGTCCTTTAAAAACTAATAATCCTTTTCATAGTTAATACTCAATATTTGTAATTATTGATTGCTTAGTTTACCTAAAACGCTGCTGACGCATTTCGTTAATATCAGCGGGAAATCTGATAAATCTGTCCAGCAAAATTTGATTGTTCAAAGCATCAGTTACTTCGTGGATAGCTCTGCTTACACTTGCTTGGCTGACAGCATTGAATAAGTTTTTACTTACACACTCTTGGTAATTACCATGTGCGTAAAAATGAAGGGCAATAAACACCTACAACATACAACGTTAATGAACAAATAAATATTATTTATGTATCATTTCACTATACCTTTATTTCATTAGTTATCGCAGAAGTACGTGTTGCTTGCCCCATAAATGGTTGTAACATGTCTATGACTTGACGAACCAAATCTTTGGACAGTCTAAACAATTTGACAAATTTCGTGTCCGAAATAAGGAAAGGATTAATTCTTTCGAAGACTCTTATGCCATCATCCTCAACATCATCTAGCTCCTCTTCAAGTTGCATAATCATATGATGCAATACAACAAAATTATCATCCATTTTTGTACTGCAACAAATTACAAAAAGCATTAAACACTAAAGTACAATTTATTAAAAAACATGAAAAAACAAACATGCGTATTACTTACCTACAAATATTTAATTTTACTCAAATACTAAAATAAACCTAACTGATAAAACAAAACATTAAAACAATCGAAAAAATAACAATAAGCACAGTTCGAAGCTTGAAGCAGCCTCAGCAAAACAAAAACAAACGAAAATAAAAATGGCGGCTGTTCCTCTTCTTCTTGTTTTAGCCAATTTTAGTGGCCTCTAACTTTCTAGGGTTTTTGAAAAATTTTCGGTTTCCGATGTCTTAATGACCGTTCCGTACAAGGCAGTCTTAGCCTACAATTTATTACATTAAAAATAATTAACAAAGTACACATTAAATTGTAGCAAATAACAATTTAATATATCTAAAATAGATGAAAATTGATAAATGAATAATCAATTTAATCACAATAAATTCAAAATTTAGATATTGATCTTAGACATCCTAAAAAATCCGCAAAATCTTGAATTTAGCGAGTAAAGACAACACTGTTTAGACGAATATACAAAAAAGAAGAATTCTCACATGTGACAAAATCTCACGGTTTGTAGAATAATTGTAGAATGTTATTCTACAAACCGTGACAAAATCTCCCTTTGCACCCCCTACGACGTTTCTATTGAAAACAAAATGACCAATGACAGAGGCTTTGACATTGACGGAACTGACAAGTGACAGATGTCAGTCAAGTATTGCACTGAACGTGACGGAGAGCGTTTCGTACAAAAAAATATAGCGTTGTCCTTTGCTATCTAATTGAAAATATAAGGGACTTCCGAATTGGGGAAAAAAATAACTGGCGTGGAATGTGGAATATAAAAAAACATAGAACAGAATATAGAACGTACGCCCGTTGTCATTGTCATCTAGCATGTTGACAAGGGGATTGCAAAATTTAATGATAAAAGTTTGTTTATGTTTAAATAAATGTTTAGTATACAATTTCCACTAATGCAGGATTTTTGAAAATCTTGAATAAAGGTAAACCATTTTCTCTTATAAAATAAGTTGTTTAAGGTTAGCGGTCTATAGTACATTCTTTTTGTCAGCTTTTAGCTTTTTGGGGTGTCAGAAACTATCGTAATACTATCTGCGAGATTTCTATATTAACACATATTTCTCTTAAGATGCAGTCTCAACTTGAAGCCGCATTATTAGGGCATGTTTCTCATACGAATAATCACGATGATGAGGAAATCAAAGATAATAATTCGCAAGAAGAAAACGAAGTCGAAGATTACGAAGAGGTTTTTGTTGATTTTACTTGATTGAATGTATTTTTTGCATGGGTTGAGTATTTCTTTCTTACATTTCGTTAATTTCGCTGTATATTTGCTTTTTTATATTAGTTTGCAACTATGTTACGACTAGTTTTCTCTTTTCCGCAGAGGTTGAGGTAGTTTGATATGTTTTAAATTTAATCGAGTAGTTTTTTTTGTTTGTTTTGCTATGTATTCAATTATTACTAAATTTACTAATAGTAATAGTTCGTACTAATGTACAAAATTGTTGGTATTTATTTATGAATTATTATTATTTTTAATATAAATAATACAACACGAATTCCTATACCAGTACCAGTGTTTTTGGATTTATATAGGAATGTAAAAAATTCTGAAGTAGAGTTTGAGAATATAAAAAGTATAGTATGCAGTGAATTATTTTTATTGTTTAATTTGTCAATGTTTTGATTGCTTGTTTTTAAGTATTGTACAGTAGTCTTATTTTTGTATCCTATTAATAATTTATACTACAATATAAATAAAAATGTATTCAAGAAATTATTACAATTAATAATCCAACAAAATGTATAAGGTACCTAACTTAAGTTTTCTAGTTGATAACTACAAAGAAATGAATATTCTAAACGCAATCAAGTAATAATTTTGACAAAATAACAAAAGTAAAAATATGATTCTATTGTTCTTACTAGAAGGATTGTTGGAAATTATTTTAGGAAACTGAAGATCCAGCCAAAAGCCAAATTAAACAAGTTTTTGGTAGAGAATCCAACAATCGAACTGTTACTTTGCAGAATTTATTATCTGCAGGTATTTTAGAACCTGGACCTGGTGCTATGACAATTGAGTATTTGGTAAGATTTTGATTAAGAAAAATCGATTCAATAACAACTTATTTGTCAACTCCTTCAATAACTCGTCCTCTTTTTACCTTTCACAAGTCACAGAATGAAAAACGTTGAAAAGTCGTGCTCAAAAATGGAATTCCTGAAAGCAATCATTTTTGTTTTGAAAGATGTTTCTATTTATTTCTTTGACCTACTTTATTGTCATTTTTACCAAAACACCTAAGGGGTTAATTAATTAATACTCGATTCGAATAATATGAATGCAAAGCTTCAAATTTGTAACGGTCATTATTTTAGGGCCAGAAATTCGTTGGAGATTTATTGCAAGACGGGAAAATTCGCTCTCAGGAAACAGACACAGTTTTCGCTTCGCCCAGCGCTTGGGCAATAGCTTGTAAACGATTTATTAATCCAGAAAAAAAATCCGGATGCGGCTGGGCCTCTGTCAAATACAGGGGGAAAAAATTAGACGCCTTTAAAAATATTTGGTACAAGAAGAAGAAAGAGGACGACGAAAAACACGAAAAACTCTTGCAAGAAAGAGAAGGTAAACGTCTTATTTTTTTATATGTGTACTTTTCTAATCGTGAATGGTTGTGTTACAGCTGCAAATATGGAGCAACTTTTGCAGAGGAGCATGATAAATTCGATGATGTTTCAAAGAATGGTTGTTAAACACAACACTATTACAAACAGATCCATAACTCAGTAAGTAACCGGCGAAAAAAATTATACAAATCGCTAAAAATAGTTGTTTTTTTTTAGTGATACTAACACTATGGTCGAGTGCGTGCCATTTTCGAGCCTAGGAAAGCTCCAACCATTTCTAATAACAATGTCCACGAATTGCGCGTTTCTCATGGACTTTCACTGCCACTTGAACAAAATCGAAGTGTCCGGTTATCTAGCCGGCCATTGGGATTCCACCACGCAAAGTGAGCCGTTTTAAAAACCCGATTTCAACCATCTCAAAAACACAATTTTCACATCCCCAGATTTGCAAGTAACCCGAGCGTTTCCCTGCCGTTGTTCCAAAACCGACCGGACCAACTCCCGCCAAATCGAAACGGAAATCCGAAGGACCATCGAAAGGGAGAAGCTCACGTTAATCGGTTGGTACCATTCACATCCCAGCACCGCTTCGGCTCCTACACTCAGAGACATAGACGCTCAATTGGACTATCAAATCAAGATGAAAGGCACCAACGATAACACTTACACGCCTTGTATAGGGGTGATCATTTGTAAGAGTGTACATTTGTACGCGAGTCTACAGTTTTATCGAATTGTTTTGTATACTTTTAGCTCCTTATAACTACGAAACGCCTTCGCTGGAATCGAGCATAATTACATATTGGGTAATACCACCGCCTGAATCGAAACCCAACGAGTACGGTCGTCCGATGTTAATGTCCTACAGCGTTGTACAAGACTGCGTTGTATCGCCTCACATCAAAGACGAGATGAAAAAATGCGTGGAATACTACAAAAAGGAGCCGGATTTCGTAAATTTCACCGATCGGTATATCGGCAACACTTGCTACATCGATAAATTAAGAACCACGTTGATGTCGAAGTTTCCGCGCGAAGAGAGCGAAACCTCGCTGTGGAAATTCGTGAAGGAGTGTTTGGGTCTACCTTTAGAAGAAAAAGAACCATTGATTAGTATACCGACGGTATCGAAACCGAGCCAGTACTACCCGACGTTTTCCACGCCGTCCAGCTTATCGTCTAGTTACATGTTACCGTCTGATATTTCGAATATTTTGTACAGTTCGGGTAAATTCCCCAGCGCCACCAGTCTGTTGGGCCTGCCCGATCCAATGGCGCATAGCACGCTCGCAGCGAATAACATGTTCCTGCAATCGAATTTGTTCAAGATGCAGGAATTGTTCAAGCCGTTCTCGACGAGCAGCCCGTTAGCGCCGCCGCCGCCGCCGCCGCGCGGGAAATCCGAAAAATCCCGTTCGAACGCCTCCTCCTCTTCCTCTTTAAAAATACCCAATGATACAAAATTCCCGAAGCCCGATTTCACAGCGAGCTACTACAGCTCGAAGCAGCCCAAAATCGATTACAGTTCGCACGAATTCACCATGCCCAAGATACCCAAGGAGTTTTCGATGACCGATTACATCTCGCAATTGGGCAAGGCGACGGTGACGAAGCCGGAGTACCTCATGCCCGATTTGAGCAGCTTCAACAAGCATTTGAACGATTTCAATTTGAGCTTGGGTAGGAAGAGGGAGAGCGGCGAGAAGCCGTCGAAGGCGCCTAAATTGAGCTATCCCAGCGGGATGTTGGATTTGAGCTACGACGCGAAGAAGAGCCAGGGGAATTTCGTTGGCGATATTCCGACTGATTTGAGTGTGAGTGCTAAGAGTAAAGTAGAGGAGGCGGAGAGTAAACCGTTGAATTTGAGCGCGGGTTAAGTTTGAGATTCGAAATATTATGGAGCATTTCTAGCGAAGTACCTCAAAATCGAATGATTAATTCAGTAGGTACTGTTGCGTTTGGGTTGATTTTAGTCTTACTGTTTGTAAACTTTCAATAAAATGTGTAAAGGCGACGCCGATCTAAAATGCGACAAAACGAAAAGTTGATTGTAAAGAGATGTTTATAATTTATGTATTATAATTTAAATGTGATATTTTCAATACTATTTATTTCTTTTTTTTTTTTATTTACAGAGACTGAATTTTATGTGTTTTATACGTTTTAATTTATCTCACTGTATTATATGGCTTTTTTTTACCGAATTTTTTTTACAGGCTGTAAATAATTACTCGAAAAATACAATTTTTTTATTCTTTTAAACCGCATTTGATTCGCTAATTGTCATTAAATTACTACTACCAATTAAATTTATTAGAAGAGCAATACGTTTAGTTCGAAGTTCAATGGATGCATCCACACCTGCGCTATTTCAACTGCAGAATTCGTGACTTGTTTTGTGGAATATTGCGAGATAAATAAAATCTCCACGGTCACGAATGCACACCATATGGCAGTGCATTTAAACTTGCAAAGGTGCATCTCTGTACAAGTTTAAAATAATTCGGAATTCATACCTCGGTTTATTTAATCATTTTGTTTCGCCTAATAAATAATGCAGGATTTTTGCAAATTTCATTCGAGAAAAAGGATCCAAAGAAGCTGTTTCTCACAAATCCAATACATCACCGAACAAACAGCCTAATAAAATAAACACAAGAATAAGTAAGGAATATGAATTGCGTTTGCAACCGAAAGAAAAAATTCTATTTTCTTTCGGTCAAATCGTCACATCCCATCTTCCACTTTACTTAATGAAAAGACGAGAAAAAGTGGAAAACATACAAAGGCCTTTAGGGTGGATTTATCGGCCGAGGTTTCTAATAAAACAAATAAAAGGGTCGGTATTTGTGCAATTTATAAAGAGATCGAATTGATCTCTCGGCCGGCCAAATCCGATATAAATCGAATGTGAAAGAAGACCAGTCGAGGATGAATATTTATAAAATAAAATTTCCTACTATAAGAATCACGAATTTACGAGGTGAACAATATTTAAACAGTTTCTCTCGAATCCGGTTAATAGAAGTAATCTGTTCAATTGCCTATTTCCTCGCAAACAACTCCCGTTGCGATATTCAAAGTTTCTTTTTTTATCTAAACAAACGGCATATCTCAAAGTTACAGCGAGTTTCTTTGCGTGCAGAGGAGCCGCTGACGGCGGCCCTCGATGGGCCTATAAATTCTTTTTATTACGCCCTCTTCCGCTGATTTACTGCCAGATGAAATGATAAGGTCGCCGGAACTTCCATCAAGAAAAAAAGATTCGGTTATTAAGGCCTCGTAAAATGGAAAGCAGTCGCGTTATTTCGATTGCCGAATTCTTTCCGTCTTTTTCGAGGTAATTTAATAAAATACATATACAGTGAACGAATAAATCTCTCGCGCCAGTTTCCATCAGAGGAAATTTATTAGTCCGAAATTTCCATCGGAATAGCGCGCTCATCAAACGCCGATATCGAGATGCAATTTAATGTGCCGATTCCGGATTTACCTTTTGAATGAGTGTCGGCAAAAGGGACCCGGCCCTTTGTGCATTTTCCGTTCGAGTTTCGGATGAAAAACGATTTGCAAAGTGCACAGCGAGCGTTGACTCCTCCAAGTAAATCCCAACGAAAATTACCTGCACACGAATCCCCACCGAGCAGAGTGTTTAGAACGCTGTGAGTGATAAGAGAAGAGTGGAAATAAAAAATTTCCCATTATGTATTCGATATGTATTGCTTGCTAAAGGGTAATATGGGGTGAAACGCGTGGGGTAAAGGCGATTGAGCCGTTTTCTAGGCGATAGAAGAGATTGATCAAAAGAACGGAGAGATAACAAGAAGCCGGCAGATGCAAAAACCAAGTGGTTATAGAAAATTCATCAAAGTGCCGCTGAAAAAGGATTCAACCAGCCTTTATTATCGTTACGCCTTCCGGTATCGTCTTTCTTTTCATGAAAAGCATTTCGCGAGGTAAAAGAGAAAAACCATCGATATAATTTTTACACTCGTTAATAATTTTATCTAAAATCACAAGGGTGGAACGTCTGCGAGATGGTTAATCAATTAAATTAATACTTCGTACACAATCAGAATCCCTATTAATTTTTTTTTCGAATCGTGCCAGCGTAATCGCTTGTAAACGATTCGGCTCACGATAACGACATTTACAATAAACCATGAAAGTATAGCTGTAGCGCTTCTGTTTATGAAAAAAGATCACGAACTCGTTACGTCTCGACGCTATTTCACTGCAATAAACGTATCACCTATAACTACATAAAATCGATTGATTTTCAACCGTTACCTTTTCCTATTCGAATTCCGACGCTGTAAAGTCTACGCTAGTACCTCACACACCTCGGTAGATTCGAATAGAACACCCATATTTTCATGCACATTCAAATTCGCGCGGTATTTCATCATCAATATAGCTACCGGTTCGCGAACAAATCGACCTTTCCTCAAGGTAAACTCTCTCAGAACGGAGGGGCCTCGATGCAGACATTTCGCGGTGGAAATGTAGATGGCAGTTACCTAAATCGAACACCATACCGTAGGTAAACCTGACACATATCGAAGAAATCGCAACGAAAGGCGTCCTTCACCTCGTGCAGGACCCTGCTGGTTATCCAGCAAGCGATCTGCGATCCACCTCCGATCCAAAAAAATTCACTTCTTCCAGTCGTAAGGGGCTGGAAGAACACTGACAACATTGAAATGGAGACAAAAGACGTAAGAAGTCAAATGTTGAGTTGAATTGAATGTTCAGGTGGAACCCACAGACCTAAAGGTAGTACCGGTTGCTTAGGCTAAAAGTACTGTAGTGAAGTTATAAAATGGTGGTGGTCATGTGAGTTGTCAGGCGTGATCGCTTCCACAAACGGATCGAAGAAGTGGTTCTGTTCGAAGCTTGCTGGTGTAACCAGTGGAAAATAATCAAAACATAATAAACCGGTTGTTTCTTTTATACTAATATTTATTTAGTGTTTGGTTCGTAATAATTACAGGGCGATTCTATACTTAAAGAATAACTAAAATTCTCCCCATCTTCCTTGTATCTGGCCTTGAGGAGATAGCATCGCGCCATTTCGTCGCGCCGAAAATTGTAACTCATCGCGCCGAGTTGGCACCTCTCCAGATACGCCTTCGTCTCCATCACCTTTTCTTCCTTACCGCCCTCGCTCGATACCAACCCCGACGTGGTGTAGTATTCGTACAAACCCTTAAACCTAATCTTCTTCCTTTGCATCAAGTATTTCTTCCTCGCCCGGTTCGCCGTCTCCCTGACTTCGTTGGTTTGCGAGAGAGCCAGCGCTTTCAGGAACCTGTGAAATATGGAATCGGTTCTATTACCGGTGATAGTTTCCGAGCGATTGGTTTTAGTGTCACTCCCGGCGATGGAGGATTTCTTACGCGGGAACGAGTATTCGGGTATTTTCCCTAATAACCGGTTGATTATGTCTCCAATGTAAGGCAGGAACGGCGGGGAATGCGATACGATGAAAATGGTTTTTTGGTAGCTGAGCATTCTGGTGTCCCTGTAGAATCTGCACAGGAAGGCGAAGTTTCGGTATTTGCTGGCGTGGTGTTTGCGCAAGTAGGCCCAAGTCGCTCTCAATCTGTAGACGGCCGGGCTTTGTAGGCCGTTCAAAACGGATTTGCACGATTGGAAATTCGAGAATTTGTGGCATTTATCGGCCACGTTGATAAACCTGGCTATTAATCGAGCTCTGGCTTTGACGCAATCGTTTTTCACGATTTCGTGGGCGAACAAATTGCTGATTCTTCGAGAGAAAGCCAGCACGCTGGCGATGTTCGGAGCGCCGTTCGAAGAATTCTGCCAAATCAAAACGTCCAATTCCACCGCGGGTATCTTCAAAAATAACTGCTTATCGATCATGGTGAGCTGTTGGGCCAATGTGAGAGAATCGAACTCCCAAGCGCACACGTTAACGTCCACTTTCAGTATCCTCTTGAGGTGTTGCAGGGGAGTTTCGTTGGGCCTGTTGAAATTCAAATTCGATGAGTAAGGGAATATGTTGTGAATGAACCCCTGCTTTTTCCGCTTCTTCGCGTCCCCCGCCTCATCGTTGGACTCCTCGTCGGTGCCCAGCTTGTGGATTTTATTCTGATACAAGCACAGTAAGTTTTTCAACTTTTTCCTCTTCCTCTTCCGCTTCATCCTGACAGTTTCCTGGTAGATTTCGATGGCTTTCAGCTCCTTCAGGCGTTCGTCGTACACTTGCTTGGGCGTTTTCGGTCTGTAAGCGTAACCGGGCGTCCAGAAGTAGGTGAACGGAGGTTTCTCGTCGACCAGCACCTCTCGAAATTCCTCGGTCAATAACCGATGGGAGGCGGACGAGACGAGCACCTTCTTCGGCACGGCGGTTTTCAAAACGGGCTCTTCGGCTTTGAACAGGCTCACCTCGGACACGGCCCGTTTCATTTGCAGGGAATATTTGCACCCTTTAGGGGCCTCCAACACGCCGTAACCGTATAGGAGAGTCGGTTGGGTGAGAAGGCCGTATCTTCGTTTGTGCTTGATTTTGTATCTGCTGGGATCGGCGGATCGGCAAAGCTCCCAGGCGAGCACACAGGATTCGGCGAGATGTTCGTAGTTTACTACTAGAAAATTCGAATCTGCTGCTTTTTGTTCGTCTATGATTGAGCTGTAGCGACGCGGTACAACGTAGTCGTCTACTGTGAGATAGAGCCCGATGTTGCAGCCTTCTTTTACGCCGCTTCCGAAGCGATTTATCTAGATAAAACCACGAGATGTTAGAGGTGTGAATAATTGATGCGATTGGTGGGTGTATACCTGAACACTATCTCCTACGCTTAGATTATTTTCTTCGGCGTAATTGGTGGTTTCCGAACGTTGGTTTCTTATAGCTAATTTAGATGATTTAGCGGATTTGGTTCCGTGTAGGAACTCTTCTATGGAAGGGGGTTGGACCAAAGGGGCGTACTGAAAATTTTCGAAATTCTTTCCTAAGTATAAATGCCTATCGGTCCACTTATTTCTTACTTGGGAATTTATGATTTCGTTAACGGAACTATTAGCTAAAGAGGGATTCGGTCCGAAAGTGAACCACAATTGCTTCATGCCGTTGACGGCGACCAATTTCCTGTCTAACAGGTAGAGCGTACTGGCCGTGGTGGAGGTCCCCACCGAGGTCTCCGACCTGGAGGACCCCGACCCGTTGGGACAGAAGAATTTCACCTTTTCGCACCACAGGTTCCAGAACATGGCGCGGTTCTCGAAGCCCCCCAATTCGAAGTACAGCACTTTGTTATTGCAAAAGCGAGCTTTCAGAGCTTGGCTTCGCTTCGTCCGGTAGACGCTCAAATTAACGCATTCCACCGGATACACGGCGACTAATTCGAACGTTTCGATGAGAGGATCCACTCCTGGACAATATTTGAAACTGACATAGTCGACAGGTGGCAGCACATCCGTCGCTAATACCAATTTCGTCGGGGTTAGGCCCAAATGCACTTGTCGAATGCCTCGACCGTCTTTCGTCGTTTGAGCGAACGGGCTCTCGATCAACACCATGTCCTCGAATTCGCTGTATTCGGAGAACAGCAGCTTCTGCACGCGGTTGTCCGACATGACTTGAATTTCGCGGCAAAAAAATCTATCTTCATGGTAAGCTTTTCGTGCGATCGCGTCAGTTTTGACGTTCAATCGAAGTTTAATTCGATGCGTCGGGCATCCAATCAAAGGTGAAGCTTTCGTAGAAGGGAATTGGCTTGTACTATATTGACCGTGATGAACGATTTTTCCCTTTTTCTTTATTCGCATTTTTCTCGACGATTTACAACTGCAGACATGCCGTTCTATAAAATGCATGGATGTAAATATTTCACCTTCTTATCTACCGGCTATCATCTCGAGTTGCCGTACATTTTTACGGTTTTTTTTTGCTCTCTCGTCGCACGCAAAACGCTTACCGGAATCGCTTACAATAGCAGATTTACCGTAAAAATGCTTTTCGCGAGAGGTTCATCGACTTGTAAACAGGGAAATTGCATTTTTAAATTCGCCTTTGCCCTGTTTAATTGTCGCAGGTGTTGAGAAGAAATCATCCTTAGGTGTTGTAACTATTTTAATTGCTTGAATTAAACAAACAATATGCGTTGGTATGTAGGCAATATAAAAGTACTAGAATGTTTGTATTGCACAATTTGATTTTATTTACAAAAAATGTATGTAAATTTGATCTACGACGCTCGGAGTTTCCGATGAAACAATATCCGGCATGGGAGATAAAAGTTTTCGAATTTAAAATTGGAAGTGACCGGTAAAAATAATCAGCGCACCGTGTCTAATGCAAATTCGTTTACCGACTGATTCGTTTTTCTGCTTTCGCCATATTCTATTCGTCCTTAGTTCGAGAGATATAGCGAAATAAAATGGGGTACAGATCGACAGGAATAGCTGTAGACGTGAGAACGCGTTGCGCAATGGTTTATTTATCAATTGAAGTTCGAGCATGTTGTGTTTACATTTATCTGATATTACCTAATTATGTACAAATTCCAAATCTATTAGCGTAATTATAATAATCGATTTAATTTTTGATGCTGATGATGAGGGAGTTTTAATTGTAAATTTCATGTTATCGCCTATGCTACTGCAAACATATCCGAATGTCATAGGCAGCTAAAATTTCGAATTTACTTCTTCTACTGTGAAATTGCTTCATTAGTGTTAATGAAAATGAGTGTGCTAACATAGCGTCATGCGACTAAATTTTTAGTAAACATCTATCTAGGAATAGGAGCGAAATTAAACGAACGCTTTTTATAAAACTTTCGAATAGAAAAAAGCATAATAGAAAACTTGAAAGGCCGCGAAAATTGATCGAATTTCGCGAACTTTATTCAACAAAATTAGTCCGTTCTATGGCACTTTTGTTTCAATCACGAACAAAAAGATATCAATCACGCGTTTAGCGAAAGCCTTCGTTTCGACTTTCGGAACTCCAATTAGTCAAATCGCATAAATAATCGCCCAATTCGAGGGATAAAACAGCCCGAATTTCCTCTAGCCCTTTAGAACAGATCAAAATATAAATACTCCCAACCGAATTATTTCCGTCACGATCCAATTTTTACCCATTAAAACCACCACTTCTCGCTCTAATAATTATCCCTTATAACTTCTTCCCAGCGAAAAACTTTAAAGTTACAAATAACCGAGGCATTCGTCATCGTTGCACGTCCAATTATTTCAAATTGGCATTGGAAGGTGCACTGAAACATCGCCCGATCTCCCGCAACTGCTACTGACACTCCAACTACAACAATAAATCTATATCTGAAACAATTATTATCGATCTCGCCGTCTAGAAGAGGTCCCCGTTCAATTTACAACCCTTTTACTTATTAGCAGCGGGTTAAAATACGGCGATGCTTTATATATTATAAAAAAAGGCATCAGAATAGTAGGAAAAGAAGAGAGAACGGGCCCCAAAATGTGCTTACGCATTGAAGACGCCTATAAATCTGTCGCCATGTAACGATGAAGTGGTTGTTCGCATGATAGGGTAAGGGCGACACTAAGGGGGGTAATAGTCGTGTTTGCCGCCCTGGGTGGCAGTTCTTTAGTCTGCTTTTATTGTCTTTGATTAAATGGAAGACTTCCATCTGCTTAATAGAGATTTTCGGAGGCGTCTTTTTCGATTACAGTCTCGCTTGTTTTGCTTGTTTTGCTATTAATTAATTCGGGAACTTTAGAACTAAACGTACGTCATGTATAACGCTGTAAATTATGGTTTTAATAACGATAGTTGTAACGGAGTTTTGGACCATTCAAATAACCGGACTGGAAAATAAAGCGTGGCCTCGTTTCGTCGAAATAAATACACATATTGTTATACAGACACTCGAAACCTAAAAACTCCCTCTTATTTAGGCGCATTTCAGTTCCATTTGCAGCACTCGCTTTTCAAATTATACGGGATTTTTTAGCAACTAACGCAAAACGCTACCATTGTAATGTCTCCGAAGGTGCATTCGACGTTTTCCGGTAAAACCGTTCTAAATGGGGTTTTTCAAATTACACTTACGCCGTATTTCCGCTGAAACGATTTGTTTATTTGACAAAAAGCTCGCTCGCACAGCGGCGGGGAGAAATTTCCAATTCATTTTTATGATATACCTATACTTATCTATTGAAAATTAGTCACACATTAAAAGTTAATCGAAATAAACTGCTACACAAATGTTAAGGAAGTTTACAAATATTGAGATTATTTTAAAAGTTACAGACTTTTTGATCAGCAAATTTTCAAATATGCGAAATTAAATGTTTTCTTTCATATCTAAGAGGAATTTTTGCTCCTACCTCTACAAATCATGCTAAATTTGGCGATCAAAAAACCTGCAACTTTTAAATTAATCTCAATATTTGTAAACTTCCTTAACTTTTGTGGAGCAGTACATGTAGATTTATTTGCCACGTTTTTGAATTCCTCAAATTCCTTAAAAAAACACAATTTCTTTTATTTTTACTCTTCATTTTAATACTCATAATTCATGATACAACTTTATACTATAATTAATTATAATGTCCACCCCCCGCCTGTGTTGGAACTGCGACAAAAACTGCAGGCATTCTTTTCCATTCACAGCAATCGTTCTCGTGCATGTATATGTGCATATGCGGTGGAGATTTCTGTCGAAAGGGAGAGAAATTCCCCGGTAAGTTCCCATTGTTTTAGGCCAGTTACCCTTATCACGTGCCACTAAATATTACACGAAGCGCAGCGCTTCCACTAAACAGCCAATGGAGCAAAAACAGATATTCATCATTCAATGGGAATTTTTACAGCACGAACAGAAATCATCCCTCCTCCGCACTTTCGTGATAAAAAAACACTCGCTATATCATTAGAAATTTCGACATTTCGACACATTTTACACATACCATAGACCTATTTATCTTGGTATCCACTTGGACAGAAGAGTGACCTGGAAGAAACATATTTTTTACAAGAGAAAGCAGTTAGGTCTTAAATTGCGAAATCTGTACTGGCTAATAGGTAGGATGTTCCAATTAACAATACAAAATAAGAACTGTATTTGCAAATGCGTGGGAATTTAGGCTCAGCTGAAAAATGCATTTTGCTCGGCAAAAAAATAATAAATCACAATACCCTCCGCTGCACTCCTCAACCCTATTCTACCATAAGCTACCCTCCTCTACCCCAGCTACCTTGCATATCTGAAAACGTAACTCACGTGGTCTTTTGCTTTCATACTGTTGGCTAATGCATTGTCCAATCTCTCATTGCCATATGCCCAAACTAGCTGCATCTCTCTCATTCATCGACAACACTACCTCTTTGTCTAAACCGCGTCCATAGTCAATAGGTCTATGACACATACACATCAAGTGCCTGTCAATCGACCGGACCGATCTCATCAGCGACAAAATGTCCGACGACATAACGGGGGCCGAGGAAGCCGGCGAGGACAAGGGCGAGGGCAAGGAGACCTACCCGTTCGGTGAGTACGAGGGCGGACGGGACGAGGACCTCAACCGGCACGGCTTCGGCAGCGCCCTTTTGCCCAACGGCGACATCTACGAGGGCGAGTACATTCACGGCCAGCGCTACGGCAAAGGGATGTATGCCTTCAAAAACGGGGCCCGATACTCGGGCATGTGGAAGCGCGGCCTCAAACACGGCCACGGCGAATTCCTCTATCCCGATGGCAGCAAATACGTGGGCGATTGGAAGAAGGATTTCAAGCACGGAATCGGTACAACAAATCTTAAAATTAACTCATACACAATAATCGATTCATTTATTATAGGTACCTACACCTACCCCAACGGCGATATATACGAAGGGTGCTGGTACGAGGGGTGGCGCCACGGATTGGGCACCTACTTCTTCAAAGCCTTGGAGGTATCTTTCTACGGTACTTGGAAAGAAGGCAGAATGGAAGGACCGGGGATATACAATTACGCTTACTACAGGTAAACCAATCAATATCAATACACCACCAATTCCATCACTAATCCATCACTTCCAGATACCACGGCACCTTCGAAAAGAACCTGCCGAAAGGCGCGGGTTGCTTCATATTCGATTGCAAGTACATGCAGCACGGGTTCTTCATCAACATTCGCGATCCGAAGTTCGATTACTTGGGCATTCAGGAGCTGAATTTGGAGAAGAATCCCGACGGGAGTGATAATAGGGGGAATCTGAGCGGGATAGTGCCGATATGGCGCGCTAGAAGCATCACCGAGTACAGAACTGAGCTGTTGCCGCCCGAGCCGATTCCGATTCCGGTGCGAGAAGAGGAGGAATCGATGCAGGATATTATTCAGTATTTGGAGAAACATCACGATGTTATTGGGGCTGAGGATGACGAGAGGATTACCACGTCTCCTGTACCACCGGATTTGGATATACCTGATATTGATATTTATAACATTTAGTGGAGTTTTACATTTATAATTTTATTTATTAAAAACGAAGCCGTTGAATAAAGACGATTTACTGCAAATGAGTGTTGTGATAGTCTCGGGTTTTCTGGTATAACAAGGGCGCAAAAAGGGATTTATTTTCTTCTAGAAAGTGTGAAAAGGAATACATTAAAAGCATTAGAGGTTGATGAAAAAGATCCGTTTTTCTATAGCTATGAATTAATGAGAAGTTTTAAATGTTTTGTAAGGAGAGTATATACATTTTTGTATCTGTAGTATTTTTGTTGCTAGCTCGATTTCTTAACAATAAACAAAAAAAATAATCTAAAACATTTATAAGATATTTCTTACTCGTAACTTTATTGCATAAATCTTATCAAAATTGTTTTATAATTTTATTGTAGCGTGTATTTTGTAATTTTATTTGCTTAATTTTAAATACATATTGTTTTGTGGTAATCGTATAATGATACAGCATATCGAATATTATTTTCGGAAACGCATTCATAATTGTTTATTCATTCATTACGATTCCACTTTTATTATGTTGAATTTTCTTTTTTTGCAAAGTGCGTAATACATGGTAGTTTTAATAATCGTATGGATTTGGTTTTGATAAATTAGTAAATGCCCAAAAGGAAATTAATATGACAGCTACAGATGTAAATCCTGCAGATGAAGGGAAAAAATGGTACGAAATACTTGTTGTACTTACAGGTAAGTTTTTATTATTTTCATTACTTATTTTATAGTTTTTTGACTTTGTCAAAAGTTTCTGACTATTCTTCTGACAAACGATGATATAAAAAATTAAACATAGGAAAACTGTAATTTTTAAAGCTACTATAATTCTATACAAAAGACACTGTATATTTAAGAATACAATATTGATAAAATAATCAAACATACTATACACTGTTAGAAAATTATTCGCGCATAATAGGGAAATCAATGTTAAATTCTTAGCCGGCTGAAATCCAGTCTACCAGTGTACATTTCAATAGAACGTCGCGATAAATTCTAATAAATTTAATTGTTCTGCTGGACTTCACACCGCGCTTTGGCTTGGTTAGATTAAAAATCAAATAATTTCGACGGTTTCGACACTTCGACAGTTTCAAAACGGGTTCGGATGGGTGAACGTCGAGTCGTTTAAAAGAAACGAGAATTTTTAAACGATAATTTATTGAAAAAATATCACTAATAATAAAATAGGTGTAATTTTAGCAGAAAATTGAATTATTTTTTCCTTATTTTTCCTTATTTTAACAAGATTTGTTGCTATTTCAAAACTGTACCTACCGATACACACATTTTTTTGAAATATCCCCAAAAAACCTATTAATTGTAGTTTCTAAATAATTTTGTACCTCATACCTAACACAAATAACTTTGTACCTCTACAAATCGCGGCGTGCGATCCAGTAGAACAATTAAATTTATTAGAATTCATCGCGACGTTCTATTGAAATGTATACTGGTAGACTGGATTTCAGCCGGCTAAGAATTTAACATTGATTTCCCTATTATGCGAAATTAAATTTCTAACAGTGTATATTTTTTTACGTTTCTTTGCAGTCTCTCTTGCGGGCTTCAACAGTGCATTAATGTACTGCTGGCCATCGCCATTCTTAGTAAAAATAGTCCACGACGAGAGCTACCACATCACCGAAGAAGAAGCCTCCTACTTCACAGTAATCAGCCAAGTCGGCATTATCCTGCTACCGCCTTTCATAGCACCACTAGCCAATCGCTTCGGCAGAAAAAAACTCATACTCTACGTAGCCATACCCTGCTCCATCGTATGGATAATCAAAGCCACCAGCAAGAACCTGTGGATGCTCTACCTAGCAAGAACCCTATCGGGTTTCTGCGACGCCGTCACCTTCTCCTGCGCCATGGTCTTCATCGGCGAAGTGGCCAGCCCGAAGGTCAGAGGCATCTGGGGCAACTCGATGATGCTATCAGGCTTCCTCGGCCAGTTCATCATCAACGTCCTGGGAGTGTATTACAGCGTGCAAACCACCGCGTTCATCTGTCTCGCCGCTCCCATCATCTTCTTCGTCGCCTTCTCGCTGGTGCCCGAGACTCCATACTATTACATAGCCAAAGGAGATGATGATAGAGCCGTGGCGAGCTTGCGCAGCTTGCGGCGCCGAGATGACGTCGAAGAGGAGTACAAGGAGCTGCAGGTGGCCGTGCACAATCAGCTGACCGGTACCGGTAGCTGGAAGGAGCTGGTGACGGTGAGGGTGAACAGGAGAGCTTTGGTGGCGGGCGTTTACGTTCGATTGAGCCAGCTCTTTTCCGGTTTGTTCACGTTCGCTTCGTATACTATGTTGATTTTCGACAAGACCGGTACGAATATCGATCCGGAATTGGCTACGATCGTATACACCGGCGTGAATTTGGTGGTTTACACGTCTGTGGTGTATTTCTCGAATTTGTTGGGACGGAGGAAATCGTTGATACTATCGATGATTTTGACTGGGGTGGTTCTACTAGCCGAAGCTGGGTACTTCTTGATAGATAAACTATTTCCGGGAGTGAATCTCGAGCGGTTTCATTGGTTTCCTCTGGCCGGTATGGTGGGTTTTATAATATGCTCGGCGTTCGGGGTGGGAATCATTCCTTCGTTGATGTTGGGCGAATTGTTTCCGGTTAGCAGCAAATCGAAGAGTCTGGCGATCGTGACTAGCGTTTTCGGTTTAATGAGCCTGGTGGTGAACAATCTCTTTTACTATCTGAACGTTTACGCGGGATTGAGCGGGCCTTTTCTGTTGTTCAGTTTGGCCAATTTCATATCTGCCGTAGTAACTTATCGTATAATTCCCGAAACGAAAGATAAAAGTTTAGAGCAAGTACAACAACAATTAAGAATGTAATATCTAGCTAATAAAAAGTAGATACCTAAACGATTGCGTTGTGGATAGTATTTTTAGTCGATGGAAAATAACATACAATTAATCGAACATTCCTTTAATCGGTTTAAAATGCAGTTAATTAATTCAATCAATAAGTCTGTTTGCTTTCGAAATTGCACGGGCCTAAGTTTTAATTGAATTTCATCGAAGTTTCCTGATCGTAAGCGTAAAATTCTGCGCTTCCTGAACAAACCAGGTCAACCATTTATATGAATCAATATGCAGAGTGCAGTTTTTATTCCACACTGCCAAAATCTGGATATTCCCCCGTGTTCGAATTAAAATACTTTAGGCGAAATTTCTGCCGCGATTCGCATTCTGGAGCGAACTGTACTTCTATACTATATAGGCATTTAATAATAAAGCGAAAATATTTTTTGCCCGGAATTATTCTGCATTGTCTGGAACCACTGCAAGTGCAACTTTTTATTGGAATTTACACCCGTTTTTGCCATCATAAACAACGCACGCGGCAATAAAAATGGACGTGTTATATGTTCTACATTATTTGCGGCTAAAACTGAAGCAAGAAATTTTTATGGCTCTCCAGACTTCCCACTAAATGTCTCAAAAACTTGCGGAAAATTTACGATCTTCATACGCGAAAATCATATCAAATGCATAAACGAATTCGAGATTTCGAAATGTAAATGTCAACTTTTGTTCTGTTACAGCAACAAAGTTTAATACTTATTTTCTAATCAATGAATGCGAATGAAAACTTTCCCGATACTGGCCAGTTTTGCCAATCCTTCCTTATTTGTTTTGTGCCCCGGAGTTGATTGGGAAATCTTTTCGGATTTTCCTTTATTTCTGTTTTGACAAAACTCGGGGATTTTATGATTGCTGGCTCATCCCAATTTTCTGTAGGTAACTCCATTTTATTACAGTATATAATCTCTTTGTACCATTTCATTTTATAATCTGTATATCATACGTCAGTAAATATAAGGTCTTTCATGTTGAATTTTATTACATTAATCTGTCACGAAAAGAAGATATAAAAACCCGTTTACATTATGAAATAAAAATCACGAAAACTCTATTTTCCTTCCGCCAAATTTCCCATCCCTTTCGAGAGATAATTCCCCGAAATTTCAGTTAAATTATTCAATGTGCTCGTATCAATTATACTTAAACGGAGCGCTACAAAAAGCCATCGAGAAAATTCGGCGAGCCCCGCCAAATTTCCATCACGTTATATTAACACCTACCGAAGAAAGTATCTAATCTCACAAGGCATTAATAACGCGAAAAAGAAAGAGAGTGGAAAGCCGTCGGAAAACCGGTGAATTTCCCGTTCGAAAGGCATTAACTCTTAAGCGACTGTGGTCGCGAAAACACCACAAATGGGATTTCTCCAGTGGAATTGTACCTAAAGGTGCAATTTTATAGTTCTTAAAGCTACATTGAACTACTCGCAATCTTTTTAAGTACCTAAACTGTCCAACAGGGTTCTGTAAAGCGATGTGAGAACCGGGAGGAAGAAATCATCGTAAATATTTAACAAACAACAAACGTTGTTGGTTTTCTATTTAAATTTTATCACCGTGGAATATATTCGTTTCGTAACAAAGTTAGCATAGTAACTCGATAAAAGCAACAAGCCCCTTGGAAAAAAGCGCATTCGAACTTTTAATCCATTTTCATATCAGTTTCGGAAAGTTTCGCAAAACTCCAAACCCAATGAAAACAAAAGGGATTTTCATAAATACACAAAAGCAGAATCCTTTTGATCTCGCCGGGCATCGTTGAATGATATATAGTTGTTTAAAATGTCCCCGGAAAACTTGGAGTGGTGTCTACTTCGCGACAAGACGGACGCTTTGGATCGATTTCGATTTCCATTTCTTCTACCAGAATTAATCTCGTCAGATCGAATTAATCGGTACCAATTTAACCGGGTGGTTTTCTTCTAATGCTTCTAATCTGATTGTCTTTGTTTGCGCAGATTCTTTCGAATCCGTTTCGTCGGATCATCATCCACGACCGAACCAACATCAGCGAAGTGTCTAGGATATGATAATTCGCTCTTGTTTATTGACCAAAGTTAGAACGCCGGCGATGCCGACATGAATGCAGTTTTACCATTCTCCCGACTTTATTGCTCTGCGGAGAATTCGAATTTTAGCCCATTTCACCGGCGAAATTGGAGATATTTAAACGCATCTCCGCATATTAAGAATTTTGTTTAATATGTGTAGATGAGTGTAGATAGAGCATTTCATAAACAAATTGTTGAATTCGCCTAAATTTTTCAACTTCTAGCTACTCGAAAACAATGAAAGAGCTAATGCAGGCGGCTAATTCAATCTTTGTACAGTCAGCGGAGCGCGAAGACTTCGAGTTTTCCTTTATGTATTTTACAATTCGGGTCTCGCGCCCCCGCGAACCCTAACGAACTCTCACATCTTCGTGATAATTAAAGAATATACTGACAATCGACTCGTTAATTTTCAGGAACTTCCTTCTCGCCGTTTCTGATTGTTATGGCAGATCAAAAAGTGTTTGCTTCGAGCGTTTTCTACTTAATCCGCGATCTAATTGTGCTTTAACCTTCCATGAAACTGATGAGTGTAATCGGTGTTGTAAATTAAAAAAATCAAGTCGAGTAAATATCGTGAATATTTTAAAGATAATTTCGACAAATAGGTAACGAAGTTTCTAATAACCCTTACAATGTAGTTTTAGTACTATAACGTGTCGAAACAATGAGAGTAGTAGAGTATAATAATCTTTTAGTTAGAATTCAGAATTAGCCAAAATAAAATACATAATGTAATCGCTTTTTTGAAGGTCGCGATCTTTATATCTGTTTATTGCTAGTCGACTTCAATTATGTTGTAAAGATATTTAGTGTGTAAAACTAAAGAAAAAAGCGAAATATCTGCATATTTCGTTTTTTAATCATGAAGGTAAGTGCAAGGAGCCCCAACGGCGAAAAGGAAAAGCAATGGCCGCAAATTTTAGCCATAGTACTCGGTAAGTCGAGAATTTAATAATAAATAAAGCATAATAAATTAACCTAGATACACACACACGTGGTAAATACACGAAACGTTGTATTTCAGGTTCCATTATCCTCATATTAAGCGGAGTATTATTCGCCTGGCCATCGCCATTCATACCGAAGATCAAACAAGACCTTAACTACAACATAACAGAATCCCAAGCATCCTGGTTCACCGTCATACAACCTCTCGGTCTTTGCGTAGCCTCACCCTTCGTAGCATCCCTACCGAACATCATAGGAAGAAAAACCTCCATGCTCCTGGTCACCCTCCCTCTCACAACCAGTCTGCTCATCAAAGCCTTCGCAACCAACCTGTGGCTGTTATACTTCTCCCGACTCATCAGCGGCGCCGGCGACGCCCTAATCTTCGCCGCCCTCCCCGCCTACATAGGCGAGGTATCAGTCCCATCAGTGAGAGGCATCTGGGGCAACGCGCTGATAATCTTCCTCTTCCTCGGGCAGTTCCTGGTGAACGCTGTGGGCAGCTACTGCTCGATCCGCCTCACCTCCTTCATCTTCCTCTCGGTGCCCTTGGTCTACTGCTCGACGTTCGCCTTCATGCCGGAGTCCCCGTACTTCCACGTCCTGCGAGGGAAGCACGAGGAGGCCAAGCGCAGCCTGCGGATGCTGCGGCGCAAGCTGGACGTGGACAGCGAGTTCGAGGCTATAAAGTACGCCGTGGAGAAGCAGGCAGAAGAGGCAGGGTCTTGGTGGGATTTGGTGCGGGTGCGGGTGAACAGGATGGCTTTGAGGGCCGGGTTGTTGTTGAGGATATCGCAGTCGTTCAGCGGGATCTACGCGTTCGCCTCATATACGCAGCTGATCTTCGAGAAGGCAGGCGGGTCGATCGAGCCTCGGACGTCGGCCATGCTGCAGTCGGGGTTGACTATGTTTATGTATTCTTGCTCGTCGTACGGGTCGAATATGCTGGGCAGGAGGAGGTCGTTTATGCTGTCGGTGTTGTTCGGCGCTGTCGTGTTGTTCGCCGAGGCGACTTACTTTCTCGTCGATGAGCGGGCGGATTTGGATTTTATGAATTGGTTTCCGTTGGCGGGGATGTTGTTGTTCGTTGTGGTGTCGTCGCCGGGTATCGGAATCCTGCCGACGTTGATGACTACTGAATTATTCGCGACTAGCGTAAAAACTAAGGCTGTTTGCGTGGTTTCGATGGTGTTTTCTTTGATGAATATTATTGTTAACTATAGCTTTTATTATTTAGATGTGGCTGTTGGTGGATTGTACGGGCCTTTTTATTTATTTGCGTGTTGTAACGTCATTTCGTTGATTTTATCTTATTATGTACTACCCGAAACTAAAGGGAAAACTTTGGAGGAGATTCAAGAGGATTTGAGAAAAATGTAAAATATACTGTTCCACAAAAGTTAAGGAAGTTGACAAATATTGAGATTAATTTCAATGTTGCAGGTTTTTTGATCGCTAAATTTAGTAGGATTTGTAGAGGTAGGAACAAAAAATCCACTTAGATATGAGAGAAAACATTTAATTTCGCATATTTAAAAATTTGGTGATCAAAAAGTCTGTAACTTTTAAAATAATCGCAAAATTTGCGAACTTCCTTAACTTTTGTGGAGCAGTTTATATCGTATAGATTTGCTGTGATCAGTTTTATAATATTTTGTTTACTATTTTTAAATTTTTAAGCAACATCCATTTGTAATATAAAACATTATTAGATAATATTAAATTAATCTTGTAATTCAAAAGTTTATTAAATTTCCTACGTACAAAAATACTATTTAATCAGTATATAAATTGTATTAAATTTAATTTTATCGACTTTAATTCAACAACATAATCCTCGAGTAGACATTTGGAAGATATTCGAGAGATGCCAAGAAAATAAATCCCTCTCACCGTGCGCTGTAATAAAAATAGTAAATTATGGAAAACGAACAAAAAGTTTACAGAATCTAATAAATCTCTTTTTATGTAGCGATCGTTTAAAATTTCATGTCCAAGTAGAAATCTAGTTGGATTATATCGAACATTTTTAATGCGCCGTAAATTGAATTCATTTTACCACTTTAGCGGGGATTTTCCGAGAAAATTGGAAATTTTTCTCAAACTAACGAAAAAATTGGCATTTTAATAATTTAATCGTCCAAGTGCTGGTGCATCTAATATAAATTAAGCTATAGTACTTTACCATTTTGTTGGATATATTTTTGATGCTCGCTCTTCCACAGAATATCTTTCGGGGTGAACAACTGTATACTAAATGTGAAACTTTCTGGCGAAAGTAGGTCGCAAAATGTGCGAAACAGTTAGTAAAATGTTAAAAATAAGTTTCAGCACGACCATTCGCCCGGAAATTTGATCAGCAGGTGGCAAGTTTCTAGGAAAATGCCGGGGATGGGAAAAAAGGGAGAATAAGGAAGGATGTAACGTTCGATAAAAATTTACTTTTTTCCAACACATATTTATTTGGTCGAATTTTATGGTTTACAAAGAAAATATTCAGAATAAAAAAAATTAAAACCACCAGTATGCGAGATATAAATAGTAAATTGGGTTTCGTTTCGAATAAAAATCCAGTAGCATTCTTTCCATCCATAAATAAATATAGATACCACAATTTCTGCTTTTCTTCTGCTCGATTGATTTATCTGTCTTAAAAAAAAACTGACGAGGGCCTACCCAGAAACATAAAGGCGTTCGAAAATAGAATGAAAGGTGAAAGGTGCATTCATTCGTAAAATTACCAACCCAAACATTACTTGCTCTTAACCAAACCACTTTGAATATCTTCGAGCGTTTTATTCTTAGTCTCCGGCAAAATGTAATAAGCCAACAACCCCGCCGAGAAATTGCAAACAGCGAACAAGAAAAACGGCCCGCAAAGGCCCGTCGAATCGGCGAAATAATAAAAAACATTGTTCACAAGAAACGCGCTTAAACTGAACAACGAACCGACCAAAGCGATCCCTTTGCTTTTGATGCTAGACGAAAGCAGCTCGCCCAACAACAGAGCTGGAACGGCTGCCAAACCGATCGAGCACCCCACGAGGAACCCGATCATCCCCGTCAAAGGCACCCAATGGAAACCATCTAAATCGATTCCCGGATAGTAGTCTCTTATCAACGAATAAACTCCTAATACAGTCAATGAAACTCCGCAAACCAGCACAGAAGATAAGTACGATATTCTCCTACCGAATCGATTCGCTGTTATCGACATCACCATGTGGGAAAAGGCGTTAACGGCTGAATAAATAATCGCCGCAGTGCTGGGATCCACCGGGGAATCGGTATTTTGAAATATGTACCTCGTATAAGAAGCGAAAGCCATCGTTCCTCCGGTAATGAAAGTGCATCTCATAATCGCCACGATCGAAACAGCCTTCCTATTCAATTCGATCCTCCAGATATCCCTCCAACCACTAGGTTCACCCAGTTGCCGTTCAACAGCCATTTTGATCGCCGAAAACTCCTCTTCGACGTTGTACTTCCTCCTTAATCGCCTCAAACTATCCTTGGCCTCCTCGTCCTCGCCCTTGCTTATGTGGGAATAGGGCGAGTCGGGCATCAAAGGGAACACGATGAGCAGCAGAATCGGCGCGATTAGTAACAGCAACGAGGTTTGTTGGACGCTCAAATAGGCTCCTAGCACGTTGATTACGAATTGCCCGAGGAATATCGAGCACATGAAGGCGTTCCCCCAGGTGCCTCGCACCTGCGGAGAGGATATCTCGCCGATGTAGGCGGGAACGCAGTTAAGGGTGAGCACATCGCCGATTCCGGTGATCGATCGGGCCACGTAGAGCACCCAAACGTTGGTGAAGAAGGCCTTGAGCAGCCACGTGGTGATGTAGGGCAGCGACGAGAGTAGAATGCATTTCTTCCTTCCCAACAGGCTTACGATTGGGACTGAGAATGGTGATAGAATGGCCGCTGTTGCGAGATTAAACGCGGCGAAATAGGACGCTTGTTCCTCTGTAACGTCGTAATTTATTTTATCTTCGACTATTTTGGGCATGTAGGGTGAGGACCAGCCGATGAACAAGCCGCAGGATAAGCTGCTTAAGCTTGCTGAAAATTAATAAATCGTTTGAAGTTGATAGTAATAAGAAATATTTAAATTCCTACCTGTTAAAATGGCGATGATTTGGAGCCAAGTTCTTTCGGTTTCATTGTAAATTCTATTAATATTTAGGGTTATCTTCATTGTGTGAATAACGCCTAACAAATGGCTAATATCATTAGGAGAATATATTTTTTAAATAAAAACAACTTCACAACTATAACTACTACAGTAAGTACCTGACTAATTAGGAAAAAACATTAGTAAACGTGGACAGTGATAATTAGGTAAGTAATTGGAATTTATCAATATATTTAACTCTAATTAAACATTCGGTAGAAATATTCAACAATTTTTTAATGGTTAAGCGCGCAATTGCGGAAAATTATGCCAACCCATGGCATTGGAATCGGCTTTCTATATAATATAAATTTCGTAACTAAGCTATGAGCATAAATTTTATTACTTTCATAATTCTCAATCCGTCTACCCTGTTGGAAAATTAAAGGATTTCGAATTGTTTTTGTCCCCGATTCATACGCTTTCCATTTCATCCCGGAACTGCGCGTAGGACCGGCCTTTCACTAATTTCCAGAATTTCCATGAACCATCCTAATATCTCCATTAAATATAAACATAGATGTACAAACATATAACCAATTATTTTGATAATCTATAAAGTAACTCTTACTAAAGCGATTTTTTTATCTACTCGATTAAGGTTTAATGTGAAACGAAAAATATGGTTACGGGACTGGTGTTTGATTTTCCCCTGCCCGAATTTCATTTCTGTTAATGCGATTTGAAAATCGAAGTAAAATAATAAGGAATCTGCGATGTATGGCCGTTGGTAATAAAAAGGAAATGGAATTCCAGCCTTTTTTTTCGACGAAATTTTATGAATCTTCATCACTTTGGGGACGGGTAGGCGGAATATTTTTATTTCCTGAGTTTTCTTTCGAAGGAGACTTCCAGTCGCCTTTTGTAATCAAATTGGAAATTACCGCAGAAGAATGTTATGTCGTCATGAAGATTAGCACGCAGAAATTTTTTTATACATTCCCATACATGTTTGGAAAAGTAGGAATTATATTCTTTTGAAAAAGTACTGGTACAATTGCTCATAATTACCTTTATGTGTGAATATCCTTGCTAGTTCGCAATAAAAGAAAAGCGCCTGATTTCGACAAGATTTTCGCTCTCGGTCTTTGTCGCACGCAAGAGGCCCAATTAAAGAATATTCTCTCAAAGGAAATTATATGGTAGCTTCAAAGATTTGTGTTCTAAGCGAAAATGCACAAGTGCCAATTACTTAGTGCTAGAATGCCGGCTTTCTCTCGACTTTAAAAAGAAGCACCGCCAGGTCCACTTAAAGCACTCGTTCCATTCGTAATGGAGAAATAATATCCAAATGAAGTTGAATGCTTATTGACCGAAAACGCATTAGAATGGAACGAAACGGATTACATGGACAACAGCACGAGGAACGAATACTCCAGCGACGTCGACTCGAAATTGCCTCCGTAAAAACAAATAGGATTCGGCATCTTCAAATATCCTGCAGGTAATTCATATCCGGGCATCGGCAAGTCGAGAAATAGACTTTACATTCCCCCGCGGATACTCCGATATGAAATATTCCCAGAGTTTTCGAAGGGATTGCGACCTCCGAAGTGTCAATAATTTTAAAACCTGTACTATCTCAATTCCGAAGCTGTTTCTGTACCTATTCTTACACACAACAATACACAAATCGATGTGCTAATAGAATTTTCGCTTTTCCAAACCACAAAAATGCAACTCCGCACTTTCCTCGGGAATAATGAGAGTACATGCTCATTGTTCGCTGTTCAGTTTTGTTGTAAGCTAGGCAATTTTCTTTTACTGCATTCGACGAGGCCAATAAAACACATTAGAAACAGCCGAGTCGGCTCCACAACCAGATTTATTTATCGTTGCCGTATTCCAATTTAGCGGAAAATTCTACCAGAAAAACTTTCATTTCGTAAAACGTGTTATCTATTAATTTTAAACATGTATTCATCGAATGAACCCGATTAAATCGCGATAAAATAAAGTTATGTAGATCGAATTAGCGAATTAAGCGTTAAGTATATGGTTAAATCGAACCGTACACGTTGAGATAATTGTATTTGTTTGCAGGAACTTTCGTTGTAGCATACAAATCATCAGGAAGATTACGTGCATCGTAGGTTTCCTGTGGGCCTGGTAATATATCCCGGGTCCTGCTTAATTGCTCCTGGGATCTCGAGGGATTTCGCAGGGCTGGAACACATATAAACTTGGAGACTTAAATGTTGTGTATAGGTATAGTCGATTTTTATAAGTTAAACAGGTACAATTGGACGAGAAATTGATTTGTTAACCGATTTCGGGAAATCAAGGAACTTGTAATTTGTTCCGGGTTTGCAATAACGAACGCCAATGTTATGGAAATTAGGGTCTTTGTAACTGACCGGACGTTCCGAAGTGAATGATTAACTCTTCAAGTCCTTCGTCATATCAAGGGAATATCACCCTTTTGGCATGCCGTTAACAAACTACTTGGCCAGGCCTGGTGTAAGGGGAAATAAGCCCAAGTTTACGAGAGGTTTAACGTAATATACCACTGCAATATTAAGCCCAACTCGTTTATTTTTCATTTATTGCTACACCTTCATACAAAGTCTTGTTCCCAAAATAAATTCCTAGCAGATATGCAACTCAAATTGCACGAGTGGTGTGAATAAAAAACACGTTTCTTGCATTGAAATAAACAGATGTAAAATTTTGGTAGATGGATAAAAATTTACCCCCAAAACCACATCTGAATTAGTCAACGTAAACTGTCAAATACGAACACGATGTAACCCTACCTAAGTTATCTACATCAAATTCACATTTCCCCCCTTGAACCCTCTCGATATGACTAATTAGAGCGGCGATGCCCCTAGGGGGTTAGTCGATGTTTATCCTGGCTGTGTTCGTTTCCGAACAGGACCAGGACAATCGTGTGTTTTTGCAGAAGAGCGATTAAACAAATCCCTTTAATTAAATGTTGATCTTTTCTTCGTGGAGATTTATATTTGACACCTTTCCTGTCGCCCTTTAATTCGATTTAATCGGCTCGAATTGGAATCGCGCTGTATACTTTCAACTTCCGCGGAAACTTGAAGTTTGTTTTAATTTTCTAGTCGCCTATTTGAATGTTAGAGCGCCACCGGGAGGCGGCCCGTCGAGGCCCGTTTAATTTCACTTGCTAATTCCGGTCCATTATAACTTTTAAACTGATTCTCGCGGGTTTTTGTTCTGTTTGCGAAACACACATATGCAATTTAAATTTTCACTTGGCACCTTTTCGATGGGTTATGGCCCTTTCGGTTTGCTTTGGGCATTTGTGATGGAAGAATATAGTGAATTACCGGCCGCAAAGAGCTGAATTAACAACCGCGACGAGCGCTGTTTTCGGTGGCTTCCTCTGTGGAAGTTGTTAATGGGGAAATTCGATGGAAATCAATAAAAAATATTAGGGTAATTTCGACGCTCCCCCTGCACCTAACGATTAATAAATTGGATTAATTTTTGCTCGGAGTGTCGACTGGAAGCGTTTCCAATTAGAAAAATCATTAGAAACGTTCCGAGTTTCTTCGCCGTTTAGCATAAAGCGATATTAAATTCCTTAAATACCTGGAGATTGTTCAGGAAATTTAAGTTCTGTTGAATTCTCTAATAGGCGACAATACCTGACAAAATTTTTTAACGAGCTTTTTATTCGAACAACTCATGAATTTCAGTTACTATACTAGGTAAATTGTATTGAATGGAATATTTAGAGGAGAAGAAAAAAGGAAGGTCAAAGTCGCATTAACGGGTTACTTAAAGAAATGCATCATGCAAGTATATAGAAATCAAAGTTGTGAATGTTCACGATCGGTTGGTGTTATCCCGAAACGCGTCGTACCTTCCCCCGGGCATTCTCCACCCTATTTGTATTTATACCGAATCCGTCCGAACGTTCGTCCGCGACATATAACCTAAAAACCACCCTCGATGCATTTTCCGCCCTAATTCAAAGGGTTTACGGGAATTCGATCGAGTCTCTACTACTTGTCTTTTCGCTAACGTTCGGTGGCTTCGTTTGAATGGAAAACGTGTCGAAAAATTGAAATTAGTATAAATAGGGGTTGTTATTGATTAGTTGGTCTCCGCGAATCTTTACTGCGTCTGTCGGGAATGTTAGTGAAGGGGATAGGAAGCAAAAATTCGCCGCGAATTAGATGCCAAGTTGAAGTGTAAAAATGTTATTTAGGCATCGATCATCTTCTAGAGAATTATGTCTTCGAATTATGTCGAAATTAATGCGTTATTTCCACTCAATAACTAATTTACATTTCTATAAATCTACATGGTATAGGAAAAATCTACTATTACGATACAAATGTGTAGCGATTCGTTTAATCTATTCGATTCTCACCTCTGCGGCATCATTTTAATAAAGCCATTTGATTAATGCATATTCATAGTCTATTAGATTAAACCCGTTATTTTGTTGTTCGAAATTAATGACTTCGTTATCTGCGTGTTTCAATTGGTGGCGCAAAATGGTAATAACGTACTCATATAACTTGTATAATAACCTTCGGGGAATTACATAATCAGTAGATACATTTTAGTTAAAGAGGATACAACAGAACTTCTTTAACTAGTAGAAAATCTAATTTTCCTCGTGAAAACGGAGGGAGCAAACGTTGTTCGAAAATCGTCCCGATACCCAAACAACGTAAGAAATATAAAAATATTAAATTCGCATTCGCGGAACAATTCGAAAGACACACAAAACGTTGTTTGCGATACTTAGAAAAATTGTTTCGGCAAACACGGAGTAGACAACTCCGGTTGTACAGTCAACATGGCTAACAAAAAGCCATAAACCGCGATATGATCTGCAGGAGATATAAACTCTTGTTTGTTTACAACACACCAGATCCCACTTTTGGCGTCTGCGAACTTTAATATAGATCCGAGCCGATGCGGTTTGGAGTCCTTCGAACTAGCTCTATGCTGTTTTTTTTTCTATTTCACATTTACCCAAATTAACTGTGATTGTAGCGTTGTTATCAAATGAATATTTTATCTTGTGGGTT